GTACGCCCATCTTAGTTTCAAAATTTCGCTTATGTTCTAAGAAGTCAGCCTCACTCATACTCTCGCGCTCTTTTTTCTTTTTTCTCTCAAGTTCGAAAAAAAGTGATACTCCAAGTTATAATTAACTAAAATATCTGAAATCGAGTGATTAGACCCGAAGGGGCATTGCTCCGCAATAGTTACAAGAAGGTAAGATTACATTAGCTTATCCAATATTTTTTCGTACATAAATAATATCGAAGTTCAAATAGACACCCTGTTATCGGATCCACGTATCCCATAGCCAATCACTTTTTCATTGCGGAGCGGGCCGTATGACCCTTTAGGGTTGCCCTTTCGGGCCTGTGGAACAATGGCACTTGCATGCCTAGGCGATGAATTGAAAATTCGAGACTCTGTCTCTTCTTCGAATCCTGGCTTAAAGAGCTTACCTATATTCCACGTGCGCCTCAATACCACGAACCACACAACGGCAATAATTAACAAGGTAAGGAAAATATATGCTGATAAAGGTGACATCAATGTGCTTGCTACAATGGGAATTGATCCTATTCCCCCTATCGGGATTTGAGAATTCGATTCAATCAATGAGGACATATTATTTTCCGGCTGTGCAAGGTAAGGAGTCACATTCGGTATTTCTATTGCAGAGCAATGGCTCTTCGAGCCTTGAGATCGGGGTATAATGTTCTCACTAATTTCGTTAATGTTAGTTCCCTCATTTATCTTTGGGCTAATCTCAGTATCGATTCTTGATGGTTCGGTATTCTCATCATTAGCGGAGCAAGTATCAAAGGTACTAGTTTGTATTGAAATACCATTGTCAATTTTTTCAGCTTGATCCATACTTTTTCCAGATATAAAATATTGTCTAAGACTTTTGCTAGGTTTACTAACTGCAGATATATCCTTAGACTTAGTCATATTTTTTTCGTCATCTCCACCAATGATGGGTTTCGATATAGCCTCCGATTTCAGGTATTCAAGCTCATTCACCTTCGATTCCAAATCACCCTTTATACTTTCTAATTCCGCTATTTTGGATTTGAGAGATAAAATATTAGTTTCTTTTTCTGATGAGTCCTCTTGAATCGAAATCACATCTTTCTGGGCTGAAGACAACTTACTTTCCAATATCTTGATCATAGACTCGAGTGATTTAATTTTCTTGGATTTTGTAACATTCCCAGCCTTGAATTCAGCAATAAAAATATCCTTTTGTGCATTATGAGAAATAAGATTGGTATTTTCATTTTCTAGTTGCTTATGCTCATTAATAACCTGCAAAGCATGGGAGCGTAACTTTTGGATCTCGGTATTATTTTGTAACGAATCCCGATTCCACCTTTTTCTTTCCTGATCAAACGCTTTCATTTGCTTTATGTATTTATCCTGCAATTTCTCACTAAGCTTATTAATTTCGGCTTTGGATTTGATAGCATCGTGTATTTTTTTTTCTAGCTCTTCTTCGCGTATACTACCAAGTCGATGGCCTTTAATATTTTGTAATGTATGTATATTAGCCATATTAAATAATAGATAATATACAGGTATTAAATATTAGTCATAATTAATAAAATGGGGCGCGTACATAAAGAATATTATAGTGCTAATGCAACATACTTATCCGATGAAGCTATCAAAGAAATCAAAGAATCGCCAGGTAAGATGCCTGATGCTGTAAACGCTATGGCAAAAAAATATCGTATTTCTCATACTCGTGTTATAGAATACATAGAAAATCGGGAGCGTAAACAACAAATAAGGAATACTAATACCACCAACTGGGATAAAGAAATCAAGAGTATTTATGACTTATATGCGGAACTTCCATATTAATAAAAACTAGCTTTGTTAATAATTTCTATAATTATCTAATGATATTTAATGTTAGATATCATAGACTATTAAAAAATATTATTAGATATCATTGATTAGGTTACATAGTAATTATTTTTATCTATATTTTATTTTCTAACACCTTGTATTTGTTTCGTTAATATTTTTCATCCATATATAATAATATATATCATTTTTTATCATTTTTTATTATTCTAAAATATTAAATATTATTTTTTTATCATTCTAAATATTCAATAAGAAACCAAACTATGGATACTCCATATCTAAAATCTTATTATCGACGAGGTTCTACATTTCTAACTTCTGAACAAATAGATACAATTAGAACACTCAAGGGAAAGGTTCCAAAATATAGAATAATAAAAGATTTCCATATTAATGAGAATCGGGTTAATGACATATGGGAAAGTCATGAACGCCAGCAACAAATAATACAAAATACCATTTCTACTGAAATATTTCTTGATCATTCTAATCAGATTAAAAGCGAGGTTTTATTGCAAAGCAATGGTTCTTCGAACCTACATCTGGAATCTACTACCCCTCTCGATACAGAAACAAAAAAGAGAAGATCCAAATCTCGGACTAAATCTGTATTATGTAATAAGCTCCTCCGCTCTCACATATCCGATTCAACACCTACTAATAACCCTATAGAAAAAATAAGTAGTGAGGGGAATCGGAGATTCGATGCTTTGCATGATCTGGACGCATTATATGAAAAAGAAGCCAGAAGAGATGAGAAAAATAAAGCAAATATAACTCGCCTATTAGCTACTACTTAGTCTACCTTTTCTTTATTTACGCTATCATCTCTAGAGGAGATATATTCAGACGTAGAAACATCCTTACTCCGTAAGAGTAACTTTTTATAACGCATTTGCAACTTTTCACAAAGATCATTTATTTCAGCCTTAGACTGGAGAGTAGTATATAGTGATTTTTCTAACTCCTCATAGCTCATGCGTTTTTTTTTAATGATGGATTATCAGAATCTAGGAGCGGAGCTCCATTGCTTTGCAATAAGCTAAAGTCCGCAGAAGCATGCCATTCCTCCAATGGTTCATTACCCCCCTCATTACTATCGACCCTTGAGAAATTTTATCGGATATCAATGACTTATCACCTTGAGTTGCAGTAGCGCAATTTACTTCGAGTTTATTCTTGACTTTGTGCATAGTAACCGGAATAATAAAATCTTCTCCATTGTAATGAATTTTCATTTTATCGTTACCCCAGTCTACAGCACATTTATATTTTTTAAGAAGCGGATTTGGAAATATTAATGTCGGTTTAGGAACTCGTACAACTACAAAATCTTCACGTATAGTAAAACCTGGAGGAAATGTTATTGGCAAATTATGAGTAATACCAACAGATTCCGTTGGAACAGTAGCGACTCCACTAAGATCGTATTTTTCTGACCTATCTATTTTCCCGCCTATACGTTTAACAATATCTTCTGATACAATTGCAGGTTCGGCACCACTATCAAGTACCAATGCTGGAATTTTTAAGCGTTTGATTTTAACTGGTATAGTTGCAATACTAATTACCGGTTCTTTCCGACGGACAAAATCAATCTCCATAGGATCGTTCAGCATCTCCTCTTCACCATCTGATTCGGGTATTTCTGGGACCGGCTCTCGATAATTTGTAAAGTCAGGTTTTGCAGACCCTTCAGGAGCGACTCTTCGAGACATAGATAAATTCGTATTATTAATATTGTTTTTAATTGTTTCTATAACCTCTGGATCGTTAAACATAGCTAAAATAATTTTTCGAATTTGTGAGTCGATAATCATACCTGATTTCTTTTGCATTTTTTGTGAAGAACGTTGAATCGGAGATTCGAGACTCTGTCTCTTCTTTGAACTAGACTTTTTAGGTGATGATTTATCTGATTTAGCCTTCCGCTTTACTTTTTTTTAAAACGCGTGATATTGACATTGATATCAGCTTCAGATTCAGATGAGGTTTCCTCAGGATCGGAGTTATTATCTGAAGAATCGTTATCAGAAGAGTCTGTATCTGAACTAGAGTCAGAATCCACAACAACCTTATTGATATTACCACTCTTTTTGGATCTATTCTTAGACCTTTTCTTACGAGTACACTTGCGAGAATTATGCCCGGTCCTGTTGCAATTTGAGCATCTGTGTTGGGATGTTTTCTTAATTTCCTTCTTGA